GTCCCGGGCGTTGGGGAATGTTTTATACTCGGCGGTCCCGGGCGTTGGGGAATGTTTTATACTCGGCGGTCCCGGGCGTTGGGGAATGTTTTATACTCGGCGGTCCCGGGCGTTGGGGAATGTTTTATACTCGGCAGTCCCGGGCGTTGGGGAATGTTTTATACTCGGCGGTCCCGGGCGTTGGGGAATGTTTTATACTCGGCGGTCCCGGGCGTTGGGGAATGTTTTATACTCGGCAGTCCCGGGTGTTGGGGAATGTTTTATACTCGGCAGTCCCGGGTGTTGGGGAATGTTATGTCACTTCCAGTCCCGGGCGACGTTGGGGAATGTTATGTCACTCTCCGGTGTTGTCACTCTCCGGTGGTTCTGTGGAAGTGAATGTTGTCACGTGATGAGTGTTTTCTCCGCGAAGTCTTCCTCATTCCTGCCCCCGTGCCGGGACATGTCGTCCAGAGACATTCCACACGTGAGCGTGTACAGAAGGTGCTGTACAGGGGGCGTGGCGCGTGTGTGTGGGCGTGTCGTGTTGTGTGTATACAGCGCGGCGGGTGTATTGACAGTACACATGTGTGTATAGAAGAGTCGGCGCTCACACATGAGCCGGCAGAACACGGCACCGCCACGGACCAGCACTGACCTCTCTCTGTGTCTCAGGTTTGGAGATGGTGACTGAAGATGGAAGCGATTGGCTCCTCCACCTCCTGCGGGAGGTCCAACTGGAACAATTCTACCAGAACATCCGCGACGAGCTCAACGTCACCCGACCCGGACACTTCGACTTCGTCAAACCCATCGACCTGGACCACATCGGCATGGGGAGGCCAGGTGAGCGGAACCGCACTACCGTGTACATAGCGTGTGTCCTGAGAGTACTGGCCGGCCATATGTGGAGTACTGGCCGGTCATATGTAGGATACTGGCCGGTCATATGTAGGATACTGGCCGGTCATATGTAGGATACTGGCCGGTCATATGTAGGATACTGGCCGGTCATATGTAGGATACTGGCCGGTCATATGTGGGGCAATGGCCGGTCATATGTAGGGTACTGGCCGGTCATATGTAGAGTACTGGCCGGTCATATGTAGGATACTGGCCGGTCATATGTAGGATACTGGCCGGTCATATGTAGGATACTGGCCGGTCATATGTAGGGTACTGGCCGGTCATATGTAGG